TAGTCTAATACTCATCAATAACTGATAAGAGGATGAATTTCTTGAACTTCTAATGAGAACTGGTGACTGTTGGGGTATTCCAAGTTGGGTGTGTTGACAAACACTTGGTGATTAGTAGAAGTCAGGATTCATGGGTCATTGGAATCCGTTCTAATGGCTGAATGGTCAGCAGGCTCGTCTCGTAACCTGAAGGTCCTTGGTTAGATCCCCCGTATGGTCACGAATATGTACTGCTGAAGAGTACCAAACCAGGACAGCTGTCACATATGTTTAGTAATCCCTCTAGCTGATGTCATTTCATGATCTAATTTGGAACCAGACTCATATAGCTTCACTAACAGACTAAGAATGCTATTCAATAACAGCAATACCTATAACGTAAATATTATTTCTCAGGGTAACCATTGCAATTCAGATAGGGGACAGGACACAAATGTTCCATCTTAGTTTCGGTTCCCACTGGAGATCAAACTTCAAATTCAAGTATTGGATTTGATTAATTGGTTACAGGATTTCATCATGAGTTGACATCTGTTAGAGAACCATTGGAAAACCTGCTGGGAGTACTGGACAGCTGTTTCGTCCTAGTCTGGGACTCTTCAGTATGCATCCACCGGGATTCGAACCCAGGACCTTCTGGATACAAGACGTGCTCGAAGACGATTAAGCCAATGTGACCTGATCCAACGGCCCATGAATTCTAACTTCTACCTGGGGTTCTAGTGGTAAGTGACCAGTAGGGTGCAGCAGGTCGGGTGTGAGGACAAATACTCGCCAGCGATGACATTGGCTAGCGGTCGCGCTATGTCGTGAATTGGAAGAAGTTAGAATTCATTGGCTGACCATTGGATTGGGTCCTAGTGGCTTAATGGTCTACGAGCTCGCTAGACTTGTAACCAGAACGTCCTGGTTCCGAACCCTGGTGGGTACGTGCTGCTGAAGAGTCACAAACTTGGACGGATGAAACAGCTGTCCAGTACTCCCAGCAGGTTTTCCATGGGTTCTCTAACCGATGTCAATTTATGATGAAATCCTGTAACCAACCTCAAATTCTTCAGGTTTCGTGGTGAGCCCATTACAATTCATTCACGTAGGAATAGGACAATAGGCGCACGATTTTCCAACTTTACAGTCATTCCTTTAACTGTGATAGCACTTTAAAAAACAATCCTACGTTGATGAGGAACTCAATCGCCAACCTAAAAACTTTTTGTCTTTACGCAATTAATTCTCATGAAGAAAGTCAACCAATATGCTATCGCTCTGTTGCTGGTTCAATGTTCAATAATCAACTAAGTGTTGTATTGTAAATGCTTGTTTTAATTAGATAAATTAGATGAATAAATGAATAAATAAATAAACGCACAGAAATAAGTTTCTATTTTAAAAGAAAGATAAATGCTTACTTACTACTTCTTACTTATTGGTTGGTTGGTTGGTTGTTTTAATGAGTTAATTTAACACTTGAAATGATCTTTAATAATTACACGTCAGTACTTGTCATAATATTAGATCATTCATGTTAAACAATCGTATGGGTCAATATAGTGTTCAATTGTCAATACTTGGTTTAGTGAAGAATATGTGCTAATTTTCATTTGATAGGTTATTCATTTATTTTAAAGAATACATATAAGGTTGTGTAGAAAGAAAGAGAGAGAAAGGCAGAGAGGTACCAGTTATTCTTCCATTTTCTTGAAATTGATAGTGTTCAGTAATCCCTGATGTCAATTTCATAATCTAACTAAGAAGCTCAATAATTTGGGTTTATTTTCGTTTATAAAATGTTTTTCGAAGGATACATGACGTCATCGGAATGTAAGAAAAAGAAAGTTATTATATGGAGAAAATGATACTTGCTAGGTGGTAGCTACCAGTGGAGTCTAGGACAAATGTCTCGTCGTATCCGGGACTCATCAACTGGATTCACATGTACTCTCAGTGGGTGATGGTATTCTTACTTAAATTCAAAACCAGCACTCACCGTTTCAAACGCTGAAACGTTAGTCACTAAGACTGTGGTGGTGTGATACAGACAATGTCTGCCAACGGTCTTTATGCTCACGTATTTATATTATTGTTCCCTTGGGTTCCTAGTGGAACATAAGGCTTCAACTGCACGCCTCCACTTGCTTCTGTCTTGTGCTGTACTTTTCACTTGCATCCATGTTAATCCATACTGTTTCCACTCTTTTTCACACGATCTCCTCCATGTCACCCTTGGACGTCCCACTCGCCGCTTCCCTTTCGGGTTCCACTCGAGGGCCTGACGCGCGATGTCACCCAATGGCCTCCTCAGCGAGTGACCAATCCATCTCCACTTTCTCCTGCATATTTGTTGGGAGATTGGTTCCTGTTTTGCTAGTTCCCATAGCTTCTTGTTTGTGATTCTTTCCGGCCATCTGATCTTGAGTATAGAACGAAGACAGTTGTTGATAAAGGTCTGCAACCTGTTGAAAATATTCTTTGTGACCTGCCAAGTTTCTGATCCGTATAGCAAAACTGACTTGACGTTTGTATTGAAAATCCGAATTTTGTTGTTGATGCAGAGTGACAGTGGAAGATTTCCAGATTGGTTTCAGGTTGATGAATGTGTTTCTCGCCTTCCCGATTCTCGCTCGATTTGACATCCTCGTCCGTTCCTCCTGTAGTTGAGACAATGCTCCCTAGATAAGTGAATGCTCACGTATTTACACAGTTCAATACTGCATACAATATATCTTTTGAACATTCTATTTGATTTTAAAGACAGAATACATTTCCCACAGTTATATACTGCATTAATAAAAGAATACTATGTATATTTGAACATTCTATTTCATGTTGTTTGATGTAAACCTAAATCACACGCTCGGTGATTGGTTAATGAATATAAACTGTAGATATATAAACAGCGGTTTGAATAATGAAAAGTATACCTTGGCTTCCGTGTCTCGCCTTCTGTTGTTACAAGACAACCGGGTAATATCATGTACATCTCATGGCATAGTCAAAGCGTCTGTACTAGGAGGCGACAGGCTAACACAGACCGAACACTGCCGTCCAATGTAACTAACCAATAGGGAATGTAAAAATAAATAAATGTAAAATAACAAAATACGAATAGTTCGTTTTTATTTTGATATCTTAAAGTTTCGTTTCAAGACGAAAGTTTCAGGAGAAGAATTCGAATAGTCTACAGCTTTAAGTGCCTTGCATCACCTTTAAATATCGATAAGTTTATAAATCCCTGTTAACACTGCCGATGAAATTTACTAAAAGATGGTGATAATCAGAGAAACGCCTTCTTTATTACGGTTAACGTTAACGAAACATTTTTTAAAATTCTTCATGTGATTCTTGAAAAATTATGTAGTTTATTCAGGCACTATCTATCTATCGCACGTACAAGTGCGCCTGTGGTTCAGTGGTAGAACGCTCGCCAACCACATACGTGATTCAGGGTTCAAATCCCGGCCGACGCACTCCTAAACCTCGTTAAGTCGGTAGTAAGGCCAGTAAAGAGGGAAGGTTGGGCTTGAGGTTAGCAACCTCACTCCGTAGAAATAAAACCACTGCTACTGAATATCAATGAGATGCTCACTGGCGACTGGCCCTATTCAGGTAGGTAGTTACCTGGTGTTCTAGTGGGAAGTCGTGACCAGTAGGGTGCAGCAGGTCGGGTGTGAGGACAAATACTCGCCACCGATGACATTGGCTAGCGGTCGCGCTATGTAGTGAATTGGCAGAAGTTAGAATTCATAGACCAATTGGATCGGGTCCCAGTGGCTCAATGGTCTATGAGCTCGCTCGCCTTGTAACCAGAAGGTCCTGGGTTTGAACCCCGGAGGGTGCGCATCAATGAAGAGTCCCAAACTAGGATGAAACAGCTGTCCAGTACTTTCAGGTTTTCCAATGGTTCTCTAACCAATATCAGCTCATGATGAAATCCTGTAACCATTCAAAGCTGAAACTTGAAGCCCTATTTACCACTGGGAACGGAAAGGAATATATATATATATATATATCGCACGTACATATCTGTCCGTTTGATTTTATAGATTCCATTTTCTCCTTGATCTCAATGACACAAGGTCTGTCTTCATGTCAGCATTAAAATAAATAAGGGATCAAATGGGAAGCGACGAGTGGGTCATCCTAGGGTGACATAGAGGAGGTCGTGTGAGGAAGAGATGAAAGAGTTTGGGCAATCGTGAATCCAGCTGAAGAGGATGGCAGAAAATAGAAGAAAGTGGAGATGTGTTGTTGAAGCCCCCTATGTTCCACTTGGAACCCAAGGGAACAATACTACTACTAATAATAATAAGTGATCATTTGAACAGACCATTATCTTAATTCACTGAAGATGCTCATTAAAAATTGAGAAGACTGATTCATGAACAAAGAATATTCCTCTCGATAATCTCTTCTTCATTAGATTCTACATTTATATGCATCTATAATTATTAAAGAATTTTTGTTATTAATAACTCTATTGCTGTTTTAAATTACATTGAATCAATAATATCGACCGATTATATTTCAAAATCATCAGTAAGAGAGAGAGAGATAAAATGCATTAATATAACACTAAGCTGATTGTGTATCAGATAAATTAAGGGAAGTAAGACAGAATTTATGAATTTCTGCGTTTGACACTAGGTCAAGGTAGCAATAGTCGCATGCAGAGCTTCGGTTGACTTAAGGGGGGAATTGCAATGGCCTGTGCTGATTAGAGTGTTTGATAATTAGAAAGAAGAGAACACGAAGTTCAGCAAAGATATCTTTTCGACGATTTAATACCCTAGATAGATGACACAGAAAGGCTCTTCACTGCTAGCCTTATGACCTGTTCGAAAGAGGTGGTCAAAAACAGAATTGTTGACAGTTTTCACAACACCTTTATTTAACCACACTGCTAGATGTCCGTGACCACGAGAAATTATATCCTTATGTGTTACATTATTATTGTTGAAACGTTTTAATTGTCATTATTCCTTTCATTCCTAAAACCCCTCTAGGTTAGCATCTGATGCTTTATCGTCAATCACTGAGGGTGAACAAACTCATCAAATGCATCAAACTGACAATTCCCCATCTACCTCACAATATGAATCACTTAAAAAAATAGAGGAGATACCAAAACAACCCAGTGATGATACACAGAAACGTTTACTCAGCATTAAACGTGTTCACAGACTAATCGAAGAGGAATTAATGATGGAGTATGACATGAAAGCTACCAATAAACTTGAAAGGCATAATAATAACAACAGCAATAATAATAATAATGTCAAGTTATCAAGATACCACGAGAAAGATGAGTTTTGTACACCGTATAGTAGTAGTAATCAACGGAGTAAAAATGAGACCAGCGTAAAACGGAATACTACCGAGCGATCCATTAGCACACCGAAAAAATGCTCTCCACCGACTAGTCTACTGTATGATTTATTATCTGGTAGAGAGAACTTCAATTCAGTTTATATGCGAAGTCAATTGGTGTTTGTCACATGTGATGACGACAATGTTGAGTCAATAAATAACTTTGCAAAAGAAGATTTTCACAGTAAGCGTAAAACACGTGGTCAAACTATGCAAAGAAGACGTAAACCGCTTAGGCCAACAAAACATTGTATCGCCTTACGGACACCAGAGAAGTCGACTGATACTGATGGAGGAAAACATTTTCCGCGTAATGCTGCATCAGCTGAAAAATTGTCATCATCGCCGTCATCATTTTCGTTATCACCTTCATCGACATCATCGCCTTCATCTTCATCTTCCTTATCATCGTCTGTGCTAAGTCCATCAAATATTAACATGTTAACCTGTTCTCAAGTTTCCCCTAAAAAGTTATTAGACAAAATTGATTTCCTTAATGCCAATAATACTATACATTCCCAGTCATCGTCTGATCACTCTTCATTACTGTCCATCATCAATAATCAAGAGTGTTTGGAACAACCACTAGATTTATCCTCAGCATCGCATTCCAATCGATTGGGCTTACCAAATAGTCAATCCGATATGACAGAACTAAAACGAAGGCGAAGTTTTGCCGGTAAATCCCGATTATCCGATAATTCAGATGTGATTAAATGTAGCGCTCAACGACACAATTCGGTTAACCTGCCTTTATCAACGAAGAAAATCGGTTGTAATAGAAAAACCAGTGCCAATATTAATACCACTATACTACTACGACTACGACTACCATCAACAGCAGCAGTAGCAGTAATTCAAGACCCGAACGTAAACCGTCAGAAAAGTATCCGTGTCTTTCTAATGCACTAGAGCATACTGAAAAACTTCCCGTGAACATATCAAATACTGAATCAAATGCGCTCACAACAAATTTTCTTGATTTTATTTTATCCCCTGACTGTTATCGTGTTGCGCTGTCAGCTGCACTCGCCATCTGTGCATCTTCTGTCTTCCAGTCACTCAGTGGCACACTAAACCATAACAATAATAATATAATAGTAATAATAGTAATAATAATAATGATAATAATTTGCTCAATTCACGTAACACTCCTAAAACAACTTATGAATTAGCCTATGAATTATTAAATTCCTTATCCAATTCCGGTGGAACAACTTCAAGTGTAAAGCAGGAGAATGAACAACAACAACATCAACAACAACAGCAATGTCTAACGAACACATCTCCGACGTCAGCTGATAATTCTAGCTATCCCAGTGTTGTAAATACACAAGATTGTCAACAAAACGTTGTATCGCCTAAGTCTACATCGAAAATACCACTTTGCAAATCGAATTCCATGTCAAAATATAATACCGGTGACAATTTCCCACCTAAAAAATCTTTATCTAATCGACTGTATTCAATTAAAAAAGTTAACCAGGCGGATTATTTAAACAAAACACATTCATTGCCCAATCGGACATTGAACCAGCATTCCAGTAGTGATAATAATAGTAGTAATAGTAATAGCAATAATAACAATAATTTTGATACAGACATTGTTGACATTATCACAACTAGACATTCCTTCACTTCTTCCTGTTCTTCTTCTCCTTCTTCTTCTTCGTCTCCTTCTAATTCTTCACCGATGAAAGTCCCCAGTGAAGACTTCAAGTTATTTTTACGCAGAAATTCCAGTCGTTATCGAGGTCGTATAAGATACTGGTTAATTCAAATGATTAGTTTAGTGAAACAGCCGGAACCAATTCTGATTTCTTTACTTCAAAATAATGAAAGTAATAATAATAATAATAATAGCAATGATAAAATGACACAGACATCAAATATACCTGTTGAACAGATGACAAGTTTATTAAGCTGCTTTCGTCTACACATATTAGATCAATCAATTGAGACAAGACTTAAATTCTTAAATATGTCATGGTATCGATTATTACTAGTTTATTTAATTGAGCATAAACAGTTAGACTTATTGACAATTGAATCAGTATTGCCTTCATCTTCAGCGTCAACATCGTCAGCTGATGGAAGTGAAGGAAATGATGATCATGATGATGATAAATCAACTCATGGAAAATATGAACAAAAAGATTTAATCAATAATAATGAAGAAATAAAATCGAAACACAAATCTGCTGATCATACATCATCATCATAAAATGTCAAATTTACTTCATGACATTCAAACTGTTACATCAATGTGTTATTCACTGGAATTTAATCATTCAGTGTATAATTTGATTCGAATTGGTTTATTGATTATAGGTGAGTTATTTTTTCATACTTTGAGTGTGACAGAAAATCAATTTTGTGCTTCATATTACTTGTGTAATTCAGCAGTATGCACTTCGGAGTTCGACACTAGTGTCTAGACGTGGCCATTGAGAGCGGAAGACATGAAAAGATTAGCTGTCTTCGATCAAAGGTGTCTGCGTTCTATCTCCCGCGTGAAGTGGTATAATAAGGTGAGCAATATTGAGGTTAGGCATCGAGTGCTAGGTAAGGTGGGGAAATCAGTCGACGAGACTGTGAAATTACATCGACTGAGATGGTTAGGACATGTACTACATATGCCTAGCCATCGATCGCCTTCCTCGACGGGCAATGTTAGCTGATATAGGGCCAGGCTGGAAAAGAGCTAGCGGCGGTCAAACGAAAACATGGCACCAGTCAATGAAATCCACAACAGTTAGTCTAAGCCACGTAGGAAGATGTAGACTTCCTGGTTGGGGTCTTCGGGACGGTAAAAACCAATGGTTGGAAACAATTGGTGACATGGCTCAAAATCGTTCTCAATGGCTGTCGCAGATGCATCCACTCCTTGTGACTTATGATTTCCAATGTAACTTTTGTTCTTCGTTATTACTATTCCTTTGTCTCACACCTCTGTTTACTGTCTATATTATGCATTTCTCCTACTTTCTTCTCTTGCTTTGTGTGCTACATGGAGTGTGGCGACTTGAACTGCCGCACATATGTGCAAAGTTCTATGTCGAAAACCGACCGACCTAGACAGTGTCATAAAACTACCATGAGTTGTTAAGCATTTGAGCTTACTTCTTCTGAAGTTTGTCATCGGGTTTCTTTTATGTTTCAATTTCAAATAAGAGTATCGTTCGTTACTCCGGATGCAATTTAGCTTGCATTATAATAATATTATTATAACAGTTCACCTCCGTTTTATCTTGTTTCCTGCAGTCCTCACTAGCCGGCCCCATAATTGCTCATAGGCTATCGTCTCTTCTTCAAACGATCTTCTCTATGTCTTCTTCGGGCCAGCGCCTAACTCGCCGTTTCCTGTTTGGGTTCCACTCGAGTAGTGGTCTTGAGCACAGTGTGACCCAACGGTCTTCTCAGCGTGTGTCCGATCCATTGCCTTCGGAATATTTGTTGAGCAACAGGTTCTTGATTGATTTGTTCCCGGAGTTCCATGTAGCTAATTCTTTCCGGCCGGCCATCTGTTCTTCAGCGTGTAGCGAAGGCGGTTGTTGGTGATAGTCTGAAGCTTGTTGGAAATGATTTACGTGATGCGTTTGCCAAGTTTCTGACCCGTATAGAAGAGGTGATTGACTTAACGTTGGTGTTGAAAATCCAGATTTTGTTGTTTCTGCTGAGTGCAAAAGATTTCTACACTGATTTCAGATTTATGAAAATCTCTCTTCCAGTCTTGCCTCCTGTAGTGCCTGTAGTTCAAACGACTCTGCCTAGATAAGTGAAGGAAGTGGCCTCTTTCATATTTTTTCCGTTGATAGTGATTGGAGGTTTTTGTTATTGGCTGATTATGTTCATCACCTCCGTCTTCTCCATGTTCACCTGCAGTCCCGTCTTCAGCCAGTTTGTTGGTTTTTGTCTCCCTGCAAGTCTTTGAGATTATCCACACGCAAAATGCAGATCTTCTAGAGTCTTCTTATAGGTCCAACGTATTCCTGTCTTCTTACTCCCAACGCACAGCCTGACACACAATCCAGTCCACCACAATTAGTAATGTCATCGGTGATAATAGACAAGCAGCCATGTATTACTCCTGTATTCACTTCGAGCGCCTCACTTAGTTTTCCGTTGTGGATCACCTGACATGTGCCATTGTCATATAGCCAGCTGTTGAATGGGGTTGATACAGAATTGGGGCAGTTTCCAAATTACTTCGCGGTCAACGCTGTCGATGAAGTTGAGGTGAAGATTCGACTGCCATGCTATGATGTATTCGATAACTCAGCTTGTAAGGCCTACGGAATTGTATTGTTGGTTGTCATTATCTGAATCTAAGGAATTCCACGCATGAAGACAATACTGAGGCTTGTTTTATAGGTCTATTATACATCAATCAGAGTACCCATTACAGTCATACAGGAGGTCAATCGTAAACTTAAATGCCTTAATGTTAGTTTCTTCGACTACACCACTGCATGACTCATGTTCGAATCTCACAGGGCACATCATTTCCTTCAGTCAGCATATATATTGCTGGACGAGTGCCAATAGCAGAAATCTAGTAGACGACATCCTGTCGATCGCCTCCAGCCATCCAACATCAATTCAGCTTACACTGCGATGACGAGTTATCTGACTTGCTGACCAATTTGCAAACCTGACTGACTGAATTATCCTGTCAACACCTACGCCAAGGAATAGACACACAACATTGGTTACTGCCTAGTAGAAAAAAAATTAATGCATGAAATAAACTACTATAGACTGTTTTGTCGGATTATAAACTATTTCAAAAACGTGCTTAGTTCAGCTCGACCAACAACTTCGTAAGAATCAATTTCAATCTTTAGTATAGACTATAAATTTAAAAGAAAAAACTTCTTTTCCGACTAGATTTTTTGTATAATCGTAGTGAATATTTGATCGTGAACCAAGTGGTACATCACACCACTTTCATTTTTGTGATGTCTCACACCGTGTACGGAGTTATTGGACATTTAATATGAGCGGGAATTTAAACTGTGTAGTTTTCAACCTGCATATAGCACATCAGTTCATCGTCTAACAAAGATTATTTCAGTTAGCCTACTCAGCAATATTTAAGTAGGTAGATGATTGGCTGATAAATCAACATGGTTCGAAATACATGGTCTCATCGGATAGTACTGAAAATACTTCTCAAAAAACTATGCTGATGATTTAAAAATTTGGATAGGAAAAACTTCAGTGGATCATTTTGCAGATAATTTGTGTGTCATTACGATAATGGTTAATCTATCAACCCAGTTGTGCTTACTTAAAACAGGCCAGAACATTTGGCAAGACAGAGTGGTGCAAAACGCGGTTTATATTTCAGTATCGATGTTGAACAACCTAGTTGTCGTTTAGAGTTAACTAGGGATTGTGCCTAATTAACGGAACATAATACGACAGCGTAGCAAGTGGTGGAGGCATTTTACCTAATGTCTCCTTCTTAACCAACTCACTAAAACAGCAGCACTCAATGTTGAATTCTGCTGAAACAGCTGTAGGCTATTGATTTTTTGGATGTTTTCACTTCTGCGGTATTAGTTTATCATTGGCTTCAAGTCAGTTTCGCTTGATTACCTGGTTTATAGGTTTGATTATCGGTTGAATTCAGTTAGAGAACCATCGAAGAACCAGCAGGACGTCACTGGAAACCATGAATTCCAGTTTCTGTGACTGGTTCCATGACATAGGTTTTCTAGAGTTCTAGTGAGAAGTCAGGATTAACGGGGTCTGACAAGTCGGATAAGAGAACAGTTAGTCGCCGATGACATTGTCTGGCGGTTGCTCTGTATATACTGCGAATTGGCAGAAGTTGAAATTCATGGGCCCTTGGATCAATTCCCAGTGGATGAATGGTCTACGAGCTCACCTTGTAACCGGAAGGTCCTGGGTTCGAACCCCAATAGCTGAACACTGCTGGAGGACGAAACAGCTGCCCAGTGCTCCTTTCTGGTTTCCAGTGGTTCTCTAACTGAAGTCAGCTCGTGATCTCATCTGTAATGAATCAAAAATCCGTGCAAAAACCAACACTTGACAGTTAGTTTATCCCATATATAAATACAGTATCAGACAGTATAGCACTGAATCTCAGTTGTGTAACCCTTCAAATAAGTTCCGCTCTTTTTGAATGCTACTTCCTAACTGATTTATTTAACTTGTGGAAACTTGATTGATTTCAGTCAAGGTCGATTTCATCAGGAATCATTATTAACTAACCATAAAAGCCAATGGAAACTCTAGAAACAACACACTGAACTACTTTTGTTCACCTCAGCTTATCACTTACTATTCAATGGTGTGCACCGATGATCAGTTGACTAGTCGATACCCTAGACCTTCAGTGTACACAATGATCAGGAACCCTCGTAGTATAATCTATATCCCTTATTGGAAAAATTAAAGTATAAACACCAGAGTGCGATGCACCAATCATTTGAAAAAGGCAATAAAATACATATATTAATGAAAATAATGAATAAAATGACGTGAAACTGTTACACAGGATACCTTTCTGTGACATGTAACAAAACTGCCTCCCGGTTTTGCACCGGAGGCTCATTACATATATGTATTCATCTAAGTCTTCAAATCCTAAGCCTAGCCCTAATCTATGCGTAACCTAACCCGTGACGCGGCATTAACCCTTATCTCCAACCCTAACCTGTCCTTAGCCTACAACTTAACTTAATCTTCCCCCCAAACCTAACCTAAAACTTACCAGATATCCCGTTTAATATCATAACACTTCATTAAGCATATTTTATTATCTCATGATTAAAGTTTTATTTACCTGGTTTCACTAACTTGGTGTGACTGAGCATTCCAAGGTCATTAGTGTGGCCACACTCTTGCACTGCATAAAATTTAACTTAGTCTCCTGACTTTCGTTGTCATCATCATCTAGTGTGGAATATCCACTTGGTAGAGTTAAGTACCCCAAGTATACCTTTATGCTATTTAATTCTTGAGGTCGGTCTCAAAAGATGTCAGTCAGTTAGTTTCTTTTTTATGTTTGATTGTTTTGTTTATTATTATTTCTATGTCTGATGTTGACCTGTGACAGGGATGTACTTTGAAATACAGTTAATTATTTACAACCTTACTGTATATAAGTATAGCATATATAATTAAGAGTAAATATTTTAAACAAAGGGTCAAAGTGAATGACAATGGAACAAATGACCTTTAATAGTAATAATAATAATAATAAATTATATTTACTGTAAAATTCATTGTTATTTTGTTGCTTAGCCAGCCAGCTAGCTAGCTAGCTAACTTTCCATCCAATCGGTAAAATAAAAATGATTCCAGTGAAAAGGAGTACAAAACCCAACAACTTTTGAGTACTTTATAATGACCCAGACATCTGTCTATTTTAGGTACAGTTTAATTAGATGACATTCATTCTTCTTATATGAATCTAATTTCATTTATACAAGGAGAGTAGTAGTAATAGTAGTAGTAACATTTCAACTGTACTGATCTCTGTGCCAGACCCCACCCAATTTGTATATTGTATTTTTTTTAGTGAATGTCTATTGTGTAGTGAGATTGTATTGTCAATCTTTGGTATTCTCTTAACACTGAGTAGACGAGATAATGAACTAGGCTGAGGAATATCAATAATAGTAATAATATTAATAATAATAATAATTCGTTATAAACTTAAAGCATAGTACTCTTCTCTGTCTGTCTATCACCCGCATACATACATGCATATATTCTATACTTCAGTCTTAGATATATATATCGATAATTACCTAATCAAGTATTGGTTTTTGTAGGGATTTTGTTTGATTGGTTGAAGGATTTCATCATGAGCTGACATCAGTTAGGGAACCATTAGAAAACCTACAGGGAGTACTGGACAGCCAGCTGTTTCGCCCTAGTTCGGGACTCTTCATCGGTACCCACCAGCTGGGGTTCGAACCCAGGACACAGTACTTCCAGGTTTTCCAATAGTTCTCTAACTTATGTCAGTTCATGATGAAATCCTCCAACCAATCACCTAATCATCAAGGTTACTTACTTTTGGTAGTAGTAGTGGTAGTACCACTGTGGCGAGTGCTACTGATAAGATTTATCAGTAGTATATAAAGAGACGTTCATTGGGATGAAGACATCAAATAGAAGGGAGATACATTTGATTTCAGAGAAGGCAAACGATACACCGTTGTGGAGGCAGATACATGGGAGACGTGAAAAGGAACACAAAGACACAATATGAAGAGCAAAAGTAACACAACACGGAATATTTGTGAAAATGGTGCTTTGAAGATAAGGTGTACAAAATTTGACTGTATAGAGATACCAAATGTCTATTAAGCATTCCTTAACCAATTCTTAAGACCACCACTTTTACAGCAGAAAATGTTAATATTTAGTGGGGGAATTGTCTATTGATAAGCTGTAGTAGTATTATTATTATTGTTATTGTTCCCTTGGGTTCCTAGTGGAACATAGGGCTTCCACTACACGTCTCCACTTGCTTCTGTCTTGTGCTGTACTTTTCACTTGCATCCATGTTAATCCATACTGTTTCAGTTCCTCATCACACGATCTCCTCCATGTTACCCTTGGACGTCCCACTTGCCGCTTCCCTTTCGGGTTCCACTCGAGCACTGGCCTGACGCGCGATGTCACCCAACGGCCTCCTCAGTGAGTGTCCAATCCATCTCCACTTTCTCCTGCATATTCGTTGGGCGATTGGTTCCTGTTTCGCTTGTTCCCATAGTTTCTTGTTGGTGATTCTTTCCGGCCATCTAATCTTCAGTATGGAACGAAGACAGTTGTTGATAAAGGTCTGCAACCTGTTGAAAATATTCTTGGTGACCCGCCGAGTTTCTGATCCGTAAAGCAAAATTGACTTGACGTTTGTATTGAAAATCCGAATTTTGTTGTTGATGCAGAGTGACAGTGGAAGATTTCCAGATTGGTTTCAGGTTGATGAATGTGTTTCTCGCCTTCCCGATTCTCGATTTGTTATCCTCGTCCGTTCCTCCCGTAGTTGAGGTAATGCTCCCTATATAAGTGAAAGAGGTAACCTCTTTCAAATCCTTCCCGTTGATGGTGATTGACGCTAGATGTTGTTGCTGTTGTTGTTGTTGGTTGGTTATTTTCATAACCTCCGTCTTGTCTATGTTCACCTGGAGTCCTGTCTTCTCTGGCTGCTTCTTCGACCAGTTTGTCGGTTTTCGCTTGTAAGTCTTCGATTTTGTGTGACATCAAACATAAATCATCTGCGAAATCCAGGTCTCCTAGGTTCTTCACGTCGGTCCAGGATATCCCTGTCTTCTCGTTTCCCACTGTCTGACGCATTATCCAGTCCACCACAATTAGGAATATCATTGGTGATAATAAGCACCCTTGTCTGACTCCTGTGTTTACTCTAAACGCTTCGCTGAGTTTTCCGTTGTGGATCACTTGACATATGCCGTTGTCGTACAGTTGTTGAATAAGATTGATGAATATTTGGGGCACGCCGTAGTACTCGAGTAGTTTCCAAATTACTTCGCGGTCAACGCTGTCGAAGGCCTTCTCAAAGTCTATAAAGTTGAGGTAGAGGTTTGATTGCCATTCCATGCTTTGTTCGATGATAATGCGTAGAGTTGCAATTTGGTCAGAACATGATTTGCCTTTCCTGAATCCAGCTTGTTCTGGTCGTAGTTCTGTATCCAGTGCGTCCTTGATTCTCTCCAGGATGATGCGACTCAGGATTTTACTTGGCGTCGACAGGAGCATGATTCCTCGCCAGTTCTTGCAGAGTCCTAAGTCGCCTTTCTTTGGTAGGTAACCTTTCCTCCAGTCAGTAGGCACCTTTCCCTCTTTCCAGATCTTTTGCAGTAATGGAGTCAGCATATCTGCTGTCGTTTCTGGGTCCGCTTTCAGTGCTTCCGGGGGTATTCCATCTGGTCCAGCTGCTTTTCCAGCTTTCAGAAGCTTGATTGCATTCAAGACTTCAGTTTTCGTTGGAGGATTGGTGTCAACTTGCAGTTGTGTACGTGCTGTTGTTGGTATTTCTGGACGGGTCGTAGGTGGTGGTCGGTTCAAGAGTCCTTTGAAGTGGTCCGCCCATTGTTTAATGTCTTTCTTCATTGGTAATTGGGTTCTTTTGGCTGTCTTTTATGGGTTTCACTTGTGTTGATCTCTTCCCGGATAGAGATTTGGTTATCTGATATAGTGTCCTTAGGTCCCTTTTGACTGCTGCTTTCTCAGCTTCAGTAGCCAGGTTGTCGTAGAATTGTCTTTTATCCTTCCTGGCACTCTTCTTCACTTCTTTGTAGTTGTATCTGTCGTAGAGATTTGACAAAATGCATACACGCATAAAACTATAGACTACTGATTAATTGACATGAGTAGTTTGATACCACTCACGTCAACCAGTAGTACCAAGCCAGGTTAAAGTTATCTAAACACCGGATAGCTGTTTCTCTCGTTTAAGAGAGAGTTCATCCTACATTTCTGCTTGCCATCTGAATTACCATTTGTGGTATCAACCGTGTCACATATTGCAATTTAAATAATTTCGGCTTTTTCTCTAAGAAACTATGTTGCAACTTTCCCTTCTCGAACTGTTAATTTCGTTTAATTAAAATGAAAATCAATATCAGTAATCACAAATGTTGTCTTTCTACTAACTTTTATTGATTCATTTATGTTTTACATATTCTAGGCGACCAGTCAGATGCACAAAACACCAATGATATACAATTACTGGAAAGGGCACTTCAAGAATACATGGTCAACTTAAACTGTATCAAGAATAAGTCCAAGTGTAATTCTGATTTATCAGTGAATGGTTGTATAACGGAGACTACGACTTCGCCTACTGCAACTACCACTACTATTTCGACTGCCAATACTCCAACGAAAAACACTGACAGCAGTGTTGTTGTTAGTAGTAATAGTCGCGGCAACCGTATCCCGTCAGTTATGATACACACTATCATACAAAAATTACTGAAAGTAACCAAAGATTCAATTATCTTTCTATTGTCTAATCAATTAGGCGGTGATTCTGTTGAAAGTATGTACAATAGCCTTGTAGAAATCTCTAAAGTATCATAGTTCAATATTCCAATGTACTTTGTTTCTTCTTCTTCCGTCTAGTATGTTTTTCTGATATTTTCTTTCCGCTTCCAATTTTAATATTTTTATCGTTAAGTATTTACTAATATTATAATGTCCATTCTGTTTCCTGTATGTGAGTTCGTGTGTGTGAATGAGTGAGTACAGCTCACATAGGAGGATAGATACATAGATAGGTAGACATATTGTGATTTTCCATTTGTTTGATGAATGCGCCCCGAGTTAAAACTCATAATAAGTTTGAAGATAGCAGTGGATTCGCGCCAAAATCTTACAACAGACAATAGAAACGCTTTAGACAAACACACAAACTCATGCATACACATGCATATACCACTTGTGAATCAAGGATTTCTTATCAAACACATTCTACCTCAATCGATAACAATTTGCCTGTTTATTATTATTGTTATTATTTTGTATTATTTATTGTTTAACTTTTGCATTATTTATTCATTTCACTTTTGTAATACATTTATTTTGAGAAAATAGTAATAATAATTGTTATGACACTGATTTCTTCCATGTTAAATTCAATTTTCCCGCCTCAAAAGAAATGCAGAAATTAAAACAAATTACGCGGGTAGATTTTGTTATGTGTTTTAACTAAACTAAAAGATTCATGACAGTATTACCAACCTACTGTGCTTTTCTCTTGTTTGATTGAGTGTATGCGTGTGTGCGTTTGTACGTGTGTGTGTGAGTCAGCGTTTCTATATATTAGCAAGTATTTTCTTTCGATAATCCATTCTTCCGTTCATTATTCGTTGTCTACGTTTGTAACACGAAAATTCTTGTTCATTTCTTACTTTTTCTAAAAAAAATATAGAAAAGCCGGTGAAACTTATAATGATTTATTAAAAAGAATAATTTCTCATTTTGATTCTCATACTTACTCATGAATATAGTTATTGATTTATTGATCTGATGAATTTTTCTATAAATTGTCGTTTTTTTCCTTTGTGATTATCATCAATCTCCGCTTTGTTATTCGCTTCCACTCCCCATCTACTTTTCGTTCCGTAGTTACATTACTACTTATGAGTGAAGAGTAGTCATTGTAACAATCTCTTCCTATCTCTCTCTCTCTCTCTCGGTTTTATTTGTGAATCTCATTGTTCATTGTAATTAGCAAAAATTGCCACGACCACTTTTTCCCCTCTAAGTCTACTCTTGTTTTTGTTTTGTTTTTTTTACTGTTAATTATATTTTTTGTGTGAAGAAAACAAAAGTTTCATGAGTACTGAATTATTATTATTATTAGTAGTATTATTACTCAGTTTTTGGTAATTCCTTTTCTGTGTTCAGCAGGATTTCATACGTATATTCGTGTGTGTGTGTGTGAGTAGCGTCAGCGTAAGCGCGTGCACACACGTTATTGTTATCAAATGTTCAGACCAAACTGAAAAGGTTATTGTTGGGTGCCAGTCTCAGTGTAAGCGACGTTATTTACTGGGTGTATGAAGGTATATCCAACTGATGAGTACCAAACAAGACGAAATGCACATCCAGGATTCCACCGTTGGCCATGACCAACCAACCTTCAGACATCGTTGAAGCGTCTGTGCTAGGAGGCAACATGTCAGTTAACGGGAAATATTGAATAAGGGTAAACAAATAAGGTTAAGGATAGGTTATACAAATTAAGGATCTTCTTCATGAACGAACCTTAGCTAAAGAGATTATTGAAAACCAGCGGGCACTGGAGAGCTGTTTTGTCCTAATTTGGGACTCATCATCAGTCCTCACCCGCGACCCTACCAAGGGTCAAACCTGGGATCTTTGGACTACGAAACCAAGCTCGCCAACCATTCAGCTACTTGAGCTGGAATCCAGTGACCCTTGAATCCTAAATTTGTCAATTTATGATACAGCGATGCCCTCGCTAATGCTTTCAATCAGCATCCACTTCACCTTAACATGGTGAACCTCACTGGTCACAACTTTCTACTGCAACTTCAGGAAATCCATCTAGGGACCATCAGTGGGCTAGCTATTGATGCTGGTTAGCGAGCGTGGTCTCGTAACCTGAAAGTACCAGGTTCGACACCCTGGTTGGGTTATAGATGGGTACTTCTGGAGAGTCCCGCGATGGGACGAAACAACTGTTTAGTGCTCACTGGTTTCCACTGATCTGTCTAACTGTCACCGAAAATCTATAAAATATAGTTTCAATGAGTTTCTATACTCATAATCGGGATTTAGTCGGTTATACTGAGATTATTTTTTGAGTGTCTGAATGTTGTCAGTATTTATCAGTAGTAGACAGTAGACTCTGGTTTTCATACATGTTATTATTTATCTGGTGAAGTGTCAGTATAGACATAGTTCAGGTGATCTTGTATTTGGGACTTCAGTGTGCATCTTCAGCTGTCTTTGTCACTGAACTGTTCCCATAGTAAACAGCCTTTTTAACTTATTCAGTAAACAGCATACACTGATCACTATCAACGGGAGAAATCTAAAGTATGTCGTCTCTTTCTCACACCTGACCTAGGTCGCTTCGTTTCAACTACATGTGGTGGCACAGTTATGGAAGGATATCAAAGGCAGTCTTACGGGAGAAGCAAGAAAGGCGTATATTACTCTGAAATTAGTGTGGATGTGTACTACACTCAGAATAAAGAACAAGATCCTAATTTCTAATACTAATGTCAAGTGAGTGACTCAGAGACATGTTGCACGCACCAGCATAATTATTTCCAACAGGTTGCTGTAGACTTTCATCAACACCTGCCTTCATTGGCCTGATAGTAAAGATTAAATAGCCAGAGAGGGTAAGTAACAGGAAACTCTGGTAAGTAAGCAATAAAGAACTTATCAGCCAACAAATATGCAGAAGGAAACGGAGATGGATTGAACCTGCGTTGCGGCGACCGTTCAGTGACATTATATCTTAGGCAAGCCCCCCGAGTGGAACCTATATGAGAAACAACGGGTTGTTAATCCGACGGTGTTATAGAGAAGATCGTGTGAAGAGGAAACGAAGGTTTGTGAGTAGTAGTGAAGACTGCAGAGGACAGAGTAAAGTGGTGATGTGCTGGTGAAGCCTGATGTTCCATTTGAAACCCAAGGGTATAATAGTAATAATAATAATAAGTGCAGAGTGTGACCAGGTACCTAAAATAACTTTTGGGCAGTAATCTGTAATACGTTTCAGTCAACCAATAATTCATTAAGCAATCACGCTGCATATTTCTTTTGATAAAATTCGATAACTATTCAAAATTACATAATTATTTGGAGTTTCATTTCATGCCTTCGACTTTTGAGTGGAAGATTGGACTGCACGCTTGAGGTGGGAAGTTTCAGTAGTGGTGATGTTGTTTTTACGGTGTAGGGTTGTAAGCCTCACGCCCGACCCCACCTCTTCAGTGAGTTTACTACCAGTTAAGCAAGGTTTAGGTGTGTGTCGGCCGGTAATCGAAACTCGGACCACATGCGACGTGGTTGGCACCACTGAAAGTGTATTCCTTTTTGTTACTGATATTATTCTGACACAATGTATAGGTGACCAGTATAATACTGAGTTAACAAATACAGTCAGATGATCACTTTTAACAATTATCAATGTATAGACTCTATAGATTAGGGATAACATATACAGCAGTTCAATAAATGAGTGATCTAAAGTCGGCGAAGTTAAACTCTCATAGCCAAAATCGTGGTCATCTTGAACAACCAATCAGAATCCAGATGCAAAATGGTAGCACAATGCTCAAAGAATGTGTTTCAAAAAACACTGCAAACATGATATTGCATTGTGTTTCAAAAATATCTCCCAGTTACTCCAAAGATAATCCACAGCGAAATCGTACCATGCATAAGAGATGTATTCATCCAAGTGACTGTAGACCATGGTACTTTGGGATCCATTAGTATTTCCGACAGTGTTCTTTAATCTAACAGTATAGATTTACAGAAAAACAAATGCCTAGGGATTATGCAGAATACCGTATCCACCCTCATCAAATTCATAAAGGCAGGCATGATTTGATTTGGGATTACCTTTCATGGCGTTCCCTAAGTATGATTGGTTCCTGAGGGCCAGCTTTTCCTAGGCCCTGAATTTGGCTATGATAGTTCAACTTTATCTTAAATTCTACCACCGCTTACCATTTAGAGGCAGATACCGGTATATTTAAGTGTTGGTTTGTAGGGATTTGATATTGGTTAGAGAACTATTGGAAAACCTGCTGAGAGTACTGGACAGCTGTTTCGTCCTAGTTTGGGACTCTTCATCAGTACATACCCCCCGCCATGAGGTGAACCCAGGACCTGCTGGTCACAAGGCGAGCTTAGAGATCATTAAGCCACTGGGACCCAATCCAATGGCCAGCCCGTGAATTCCAACTTCTGCCAATTCACGACATAGCGCGACCACTAGTGAATGTCTTCGGCGAGTCCTCACATCCAACCTGCTGCACCCTACTGGTCACGACTATTCACTAGCACCCCAGGTAACTACCTACCTGGTGGTGGGTGCGTACTGGTGAAGTGTTACAAACTAGGACGAAACAGTTGTCCAGTACTCCCAACAGGTTTTCCAATGGTTCTCTCACCGATGTCAGCTCATAATGAAATCTTGTAACCATTATATTCGTTAGCTTTGAAGATCAATACATGTCAGGCTAAGCAAGGTATTTGAAATAATCTTAGAATGACGTCTATTTACAGGAGAATTACATAAAAACAAATTAAACAGGGTATTTTTCTCTGACATGACTTCAAAATATGGCCCAGTTATAATGAGCAGTATTGGTTTTTTCAGTTGAACTAGTTTCTACACATGTATTCATCAAGATGACTGAAAATGAGTTCCTTTTGTGACCTGTTTATTGCTCTTATCCTGTTTTTCATTCTACTGTGGCTGCCCACAATGAAATTGGTATGAATCTCAGTAAGGATGTTGACAAAATCACCAGAATGATTCACTCGATGGTGGAGAAAACCCAAATCTGATAGGTGATTGTATCCCA